AATCCCTCCAATACAGAAAGGAGTACAGTAAAAGTATTCAAGTGCACTTGCAAAACAGTTAAAAATATTTTTAAAAGCAATGGTGCTACTCAACTATGCACCACCAAAAACACTAAAACATCAATAACTACCTACTGCCATTTCCCTTCAAGAGAATGATTTTTTGCACTGAACTGAGAAGCAAAATTTACTATTTGACAACAAGTATAAAAAAAAAATCAATTCTCAAATGAAAAGTAACTGAAAATGTATTTTCAATTTATACTCACTATTTCAAACCGCAAGAATAAAATAAATAAAAAACCCTTTTAGCATTACCACACTCATTCCAACCACTAGCACTGCTAAAATAACTGCAGAGATCAAAAAAGCTGCAATTTCCAGTGCTGAATTCAGACAACAGAGGTTTAAGTAACACAACTCCACTCCAACTTGCAGTGTCTTGCTCTTCTCAGACATGCAGCTTGTCTACAATACACTTTCTAATGGAAGCAAGAACAAAGTGGAGGGGCAGTTGGTCTAACAAAACCAGATATTCTCTTTAGTGTTGTCACAGCTGTTTTGTTCATTCATGCACAAATTGTCTCAAAAAAAATTTAAGCTGTGCTATGAAAAACCTACCTCCAATTCTATTAAACTTTTCCAAGAAAAACAACCAAAAGAAACAAACCTGGACATTACTTTAACTGCATTGTACAGGATTATACAGGATATTTTCTGAAGTCAAAAGTAAAAATGTAATGTTGCCTAACTTTTAGTAACCCCACTCTTTTTCCTAGCAAAGCAAAGGTATATAATTCAGACTATAAACATTGCACCTATTATCTATTTCAGGATTTAAACAGTAATTTCAATGTCCCTCACAGACACAGATCCTCCTGCTAGCACAGATGTAGCTTGTGTGGTACTTCTATTGACCTACCCAACTGCATAGTGAGATTAAAAACACCAGCACTTTTATGTCCCTACTAGTTTCCTTAGCACTGGCTTATTAAATTTCAATGAAATGTTAAAATCAACAGAAGATTTTCAGAGTCTGCATTCTGACTAAAATCAATACAGGAAAATTCACACGGCCGGAATGAGAAGTTGTGAGTTATGTTTCAATAAAGACAAGGGTCACTGAATAAGGTCATTTCATTAGTTAACAGCTTTCCTGGCAAGGCATTTCCCCTGTCTCCCCCCTCTCCCACCCCCCAGCATTCCATATAAGCAGTCAAATATAAACCGTCAGTTTCCATGGCAGACTCCTGCTGTACTTCAATCAGCCTGAGCTGTCAGGACAGTCTGGTAATTAACGTTAACACAGGTCTATCCTGTCAGCCACAGAAATACACCAGCATCTAATAATACACCCAATTAATAGGATACCTGCATCAGTGTGCATTCTCAAAAACGGAGAACACTTCATGGTTACAGACAGTAATTAAAGACAATTGAAATGTAGTTGCTCTTCTTACAAAGTCTACACAATTCAAATCATTGTAAGCATCTCATTCCTGACCTGGCATCGTACAGCATACTCAGAGAAAAAAAGTTTTAATCTAAGAATGACTAAAACAGACAATCTGGTCAAAAACATTGCTAACCCACAAAAGTAACCATCCATTTCATGTCTAGCCTTCTCTTCACACCCATAGCACTCATCGAACATCAGCAACTACTATCTGTTGATGCATGTAAATTTCATTTTTATAATGAGGACATTCTAAGTGCTCTCTGAAAATCCATAGTTTTTCTCAGTGGTGGTTGCTTTAGGGTTTTTTTTCCCATTTTACTATATTATCCAAGACATCTCCAGTTCTTCCTCTTGTGCATCACAAAAGCAGCCCATACCATTCCCTAATCTAATCCACACTTGGTCAGTTGTTTCTAACCATTGCAAGGGATTTTTATACAAGAACAGTTATTTTAGAAATTACTGTATTCAGTTTCAGATGAGGAAAATGCAACTCAACTGCAGCCTTAATGAACAAGTTGCACTAAACAAAAACATTAAATTCAATCAGGCCTCTCCCAATTCAACAAGTCAGCCGCTCCTGTACAGAACTAAGCCTAATGTAGTTATTCTTATTTAAAAAAAAAAATAAAATCTGAATACAGACATTTTAACTATTGGTAAGCAACAGGGAACAAACCACTTTCAAAGTATGAGCTTAAAATAACTGTTTTACTAACTTAAGACTTGTATCAGTTAAAAAATACCCTTTTCTTAGTTACATGCCAGGTGACCTATAAATGCTGCAGAAACAGCTCCAAAAATAACGTAGTTTTTAAAAAAAGTTAACTGTTGCTGTTTTAAATATTTTTCCACAAGCCAAAAAAACTACCACACTGTTTCTTAAGTGCAATTGAGCTTTTGGTTTGGTGTTATGAGAGGCTGTGCCAAGGTATTGCAGCCACTCCCTCCCCATGCCAAAAAATAACCAAACACCCACACCTCAAAATAGCTCTTACAAGGTTTCTGAACACAAGTTCTAGAAGCATTACAACAGTCATAAATCAGAAAAACACCTCAGACCATTAAGTTTTAAGAGATAATTAAAGAACCAAACTCAAAAGAGTACTAATGATAAAGAGCACACAAACAATACTCAATGCTCTTGTGGCACACTACTTTGACAATTTTAACATTAATACACCAAGTTTAAAAATTAGTCTGAGACGCTCTGGGCAAACACCTTTTGTAAGGCCTTTATCCCAAAGAACACTCATCCCTGAATATTGCATTAAGAAGCATATTTTTTAATGAATTAATGGGGTCCATTGCAAGATCTGATACAAGTGAAAAATCTGACAGGCTAACGTGGCCAGTGCCCCTCCATCAAATCTGAAAAATCAGCAAAATCCTAGCTAAGCACAGGCTACATGTACATAATCACAAATAATACGGTTATGTACAAAAGTAACTACATAACTTCAGAGAGAGAACTCATTTACAACACCAGAACATAGTTCTTCAGCCCTACTTCTCATGCACATGTTTTGCTTAGTACAACCAGACCGATGCAAAAACTGCACTCCTGGGCACTAAGCTCCCCAATTTCACGTGCACTTTTCTCGATGAGAAAACTAAACAGAGAGAGTAACATTCACCAAAAATTTATCCTCATATTGCCTACCTGGATGTTATTACGCTAGCTTTGTTAAACTTGGTAGACAGAAAGAGGAAGCCTATTTGACACAAAATTAGATTTATCTCCAATAGCCAGATGCATGGTTAAATTTACATTTAAAGGCAGACATGCATTTAAGTCACCTTCAACACAGTTTTGAAGGAAAGACTAAGTTTTTCAGGGATAGGTTACTAAGAAAAAATTAATTTCTGATAAAGTCCTCTTCAATCTCTTTTTGAAAACAGTTCAGACCACAGGTCTGATCTGTGTACATTCTGATCAGGTGCAAGAGTCTGTGCACTTACAGGTTCAAGAAAACAAAATGTAAATTTATAAATTAGACTACTCAGATCTCAGTTAATAGTTCAGGCACATTTGTTCATAGTCTGATGAAAGAATACAACTGAAGTACCTCATTAATTTAAATCTGTCAACATGCTACTGAAGTGTTTGAAATGTCCAATTCAGTTTTTAAAAACAGTGCAAGAAAACAGGTACTGCTCTTTTCACTGTTCACGACAGGGAGCATTAAAATATGTAAGTTGTCAGAAAAGAAAATCCAGGTTAGCATCGTAAAAGTTAGTATCTCAAAAACTTAAGCAAAAAAAAAAAATTTAAAAAAAAAAAAAAACAGGTCACATTTGATGGAGCAAACAATTACAGGAAATACAGCCTATTCCACATTCAGGAAAAGCCCTCTCTTCCCACAGGTTTGCACCAGTCTGATAAAAACAATTCAGCTTCCTAGTTATTATGATGTGCTCTTTAAACATCCTTGTTAATCCACAGAAGGCTTATTTACACATAACAAGTTAAAAGCACACATATGGAAAAATAAATGTAACCTGAACAAAACAGCAACTTTCACATTTTATGAAAGTAGTTCTTAAAAAAAAAAAATGTTTCCTCAATGCATTTCTTACATTTAAGGTAGTCTTCAAGACAGAGATCATCTATCAAGCACTAAAATTTTCTGAGATCAAAAAGTCAGATAGAGTTCAGAAAGGAAAACATGCTTTCGATAATACATGCAGCATAGCAATGGACCCAAAAATCTGTAACTTAACCAGATTGGATGTACTATTCACCTAAAACCACAGGTCTCTTTCTATCTCTTGCTGCATACAATTACAAGACGTAACCACAGCAAAAGCCCATTTGAGTTCTGTTTTTAAATATAAAACGTGTAACATGTAAATAAGTATCATGGAACAATAAATAAGTAATAATAAAAAAACTACCCTAGCATTCCATTAGGGAAGGCAATCCTAACTTTTATTTGTTTGAATTCTTAGGCTTGTGACTTTATTTCTTTATTTTGATCAGCACACAAAATAAAAGACAATGGCTGATCATAATATTTTCTTCTCAAGCATAAACAAAACCTTTAGGAAAATAGTTGTATTATAACTAAAAAAAACCCAAAAACAAACACCTACCTAAAGCACACAACAACAAACTAGAAGCAGCAAATCAAATGACAGGGTGGAGGGGGCAAAGAGGGAATGTGAACCCTGTAACTTTATTTTTAGATTATATATACCTATATATACATGCACTTGCCCCAAATACTTGGTATTCTCAAGGGTGCCAGGAAACAACTGATGAAACCTTGAAATAATACACTTTCCAGTAAGCACATGAAATCCTGCAGACTTTTCCAGCAAACCTGTAGTTCACTATTACTAAACCCTTCTGCTGGAGGATGTCAGTGGAGCATGCAGTTCAAGATATTTAACACAGCCCCCACTGGTAGCCAGGATAGGTGTTCTACAGAGAAACACTTGTTCCAACTTCTCAACTGTTCACTGCTACTGCCTATTCCACCTATGTAATACTGCCTGTAAGTATACAATACGTCAAGGTACATGCAAATACAGATACCTGCACAAATCCACAAGTATTTTGTCATTCTTTGGCGTCTTCTACCAGATTTGATAATTTTACTGCCCGAGTCAATAGTGGTGCTCGCGGACTCACGCCTCAGAAAAAAAAATAACTGGCGCCCCTTAGTGTTCAAATTCTGAAGTCTTGAAGTAATTTACTAGATTTGCATGAAACTTTTTTTTCAACATTCCAAAAAGTTTTCTGCCTCCACAATACTTCCACCCATTTGCCAACGTAAACAGGAAAAGCAGAAAAGCTTAAAGGGATAGCAGGCTTCTTCCAGAGACCATTTAGGATCACAGATTATATTTTATTTGCTTTTCTTTAGAAGAAGAGAGTGAAGAACAGTTCCAACACAGTCCTTAAACTTTGTCAGCAAGAGACACAAAAGCTCTCATTTTGGAACTCCAATACTTTGCAAACAGACTTCCAGAGTTTTCCGTATTTCAAAATATATAACAAGATATAAGTATTTCTGGAATTCCTTTTTTCAGTGGTTTTTTTTTTTTTTGTGTCGGGAAATGTTTTTCTTCCTTTTGTTCTCTGAAAATAAAAAAACAGCTTCAGGCCTCCTCTGGTCAAATACATTAAGTTGAAAAGATTCACAATTTAAAAATCCATTACCAAACCTCTGGAAGGCTCATTTGTGCTATAAAGGAGTCTTCTCGGTCAAGTTTCTTCTTGATGTTTATTGTCAATCTAACTATTCTGAAGAGGTTGTTCACTGTGGTGACCAAGAGCGTAAGTTCTAAAATAGTTTTGCTCTTCACATCCACATTTGATCCAATATAAAATCAAACTCCTCCAAGTATCTTGAAAATAAAAATAGACTCTCCCATTTTAATGCTTCCCACAATCCGTATTAGAGTGTTCTTCATCGTTTTTTTGGGTTCCTTTACATTCCTCTATCATTTATTTCAGAAGGTAGCATTTTCTCGACACGCTATTTTTGTGTCGCACTACAGTCGCTATCTCATTTTTGCAGTCTTGGCAGAGGGCGGGGAGTTGTTCTACCAAATATAACCAGTTCTTTCATCTTCCGAGGTCAACAACTTCCCAAACTTCTTTTAGCGAAAATGAATACATCCGCAAACAAGAACCCTAACTCAAAATCTCGAAAATCAGTACTTCATACTAAGAATCCCTACAAGTTGAAACTGTATAAATTATTTATGGCCATATCATATTCTACAAAGCTATCAAATACGATTAAACAAACAGGTCTGCTGTAATGCACTAAATAGTTATTATACGCAGGTCGAAGTCATCAGAAAGCCTAGATTTAAAGTCATAGGAAAGGAAATGCCTTCGACAAAAAAAAACAAACCCGTGAACTCGAGTACAAGGTGAATTTAAAATACTACGAACAAGTGTTTCACCTGATTTTTGATACACAGTGGGTCTGTTACTGTAGTGGGAAAACGTGTGGGACACAGGAAGTTCCCAGCTCGTACTTTTCTTATTCATTTCTAAAGCGTGACTATTTATTTGTGAAATCTTAACCCCAAACAAAGTTATTAGGGAAAAACTGGGGGCATAGGGGGGGCCTCGCCCCGTGCCAGGAGCGGGTGCGAGGCTGGGGTGGACGTTTGGCAGGAGCAGACCAGGCAATTTCGTAATCCTTTTTGTTTCTCCCTCTTCACTAAAGTCACACGTAGGAAGGAGTCTGTCAAGTTCAGTTTCTTTAAAAGGTAAGGATAGCCGAGAGAAGAATTTACTCGCTTCCCTTGCGATATAGGAAAATCGTAATTAGTTTGCGGCCAGTTCGGGGTGGGGTAGATCTGGAGCCGAAGAAAGAGCTCAGCCCCCCTCCGCCTTAGTCATTCAAGTCCAAGCAGCTTCCAGAACAGCCAAATCTCGAAACCGAACACCCGCCGCCCCCCCGGCGGGGGCCCCGGGGCCGGGCGGCGGAGCGCTCCGAGGGCGCCGGCAGGACCCCAGTGTCCCCCGCCGCCGCGGGAGGGAGGGATGCAGGGTGGGGAGCGCCAGCCGCCAGCCAGCCTTTCCCCTCCTCCCTGCCTTCCCCCAGAGCGCATTCCTGAGCTCCTCTCCTCGCTCCCTCCCCTCCGCGCCGTAGTTACCCTTCCCCCGGTTTAAGGGGATAGTGAGGAAAAGGGTAAAAAGAAAAAAAAGGAAAAATAAGGGGAAAAGCGCTCCTGGGGGATCGGGGACCCGCGCGGCCGGGGCTGCCTCTCCCCTCCCACTCGCTCCCCGAGTCCCCCGGCACCGCGCGGCGGCGGCCAGGGCGGGGAGAGCCCGCACTTCCCCTTTGTTTTCGGCTCCCCAGCCGGGGCCGGGAGCGTGCGGGGAGCAGCGGGGAGAGCGGAACAGGCCCCGGCCGTCCCCGCCGCCCGGCCGGGCTGGGGCGGGGGGCCGAGCGGGATCCCCGGGCCGGGGGAGGCAGGGCAAGGCGGCGGGGCGGGGGAGGCGGCGGCCGGGCGAGGGCTTTTACCTTCGTCCAGCAGCCTCTCGAGGTGGTTGAAGATCCCGCAGAAGTTGGGGAGGCTGCTCATCAGCTTCTTGTCGTTCATCAGCTGCATCAGGTAATCGGGGCTCGGCTTCGGCTTCTCCTTGGTTTCCATTTCCCCAACCATATTCCAAGCCCGCGCAGAGACGGCGAGCGCCCGCAGCAGCTCTGCCGAGCAACGCGACCGCGGCACGGGGCGCCCGGCTGGATCCGGGCGGGCAGGGAGGCGGTGGGGGAGGGGAGGGGG